AAAAAAAAAAAAAAAAAAAAGGAAACTTTTATTTAGCAACCGTCCTTCTCGTAGACCAAAATGCCTTGTAGCTTTTTTACAACTGTGCACACTGAAACATAAAAATAAGCATGCAGATGTGAAACAGATTTTATCCTTCAAGTATATATGTGGATGTTCGGCAGTTTTCCAAATGTGTCTTCTCTAAATACATTTTTAGTTGCAAAGTGGAAATGGAATGTGCGGGTACAGAATATCGTGAAGGCACTATTTTTTGCTCTTAAGTTTCAGTAGGTAAGCTGTACAAATATGTCCTTTTCATTTTTAAATATGTGTGTGACGTAAATATTTGGATATAAATTCTGAGTGTGTGTGTGTGTGTGTGTGTGTGTGTGTGTGTGTGTGTGGCCAGGAGGTGGTTTAAGGTAGGAATATACATTGTGTGCTGTCCTCTTCCAGACACTCTTTCCTCTTAAGTAGAACTTGACTTTCTTTGGCAGTTCTGATCTTTTGAAATACAAAATCAGCCTTCTAAATCCATGATTCAAGAGCTCCTCCTCGCCTATTACTGCACCAGGAGGGACTGGCAGAGGGCTCCGGAAAGCACAGTCATCCTGTGCCAAGTAGGATTCAGGTTTCTACTTGCCTAAGCCATCAAGGCTCAACGTTGTCACACTGGGTGCTCCGGAGAACAAGTCAGCAAAGCAGTTTAGAGGATCTTTTGCAAATCACAGAAAGGGAAACAAGCCCTCTGGGCAAAACACAGTCTTCTGTTCAGCCCTGAGAGACTTGAGTATCAGAGAAATTACTTTTCATCTTTTAAGCTGTGGTTTAACTGAGAAATGCTGCCAGATAATGGATAACTCTCCCCAGAAGAAAATGGATTTGGTCATTTCATCAGGTGCTCACTTTAAAAGTTTTTTTTTTTTTTTTTTAACTTTATTTATTTTTGAGAGAGATGGAGACAGAGTGAGAGCGGGGGAGGGGCAGAGAGAGAGAGGGAGACACAGAATCCAAAGCAGGCTCCAGGCTCTTAGCTGTCAGCACAGAGCCCGATGCGGGGCTCGAACTCACAGGCTGTGAGATCATGACCTGAGACGAAGTCGGACGCTTAACCTACAGAGCCACCCAGGCACCCCAGGTACTCATTTTAGAAAGGCCCAGCCAGGGGTGCCTGGGTGGCTCAGTCAGTTGAACGTGTGACTCTTCGTTTCGGCTCAAGTCATGATCTCACGGTTTGTGAGTTCAAGACTTGCATCGGGCTCTGTGCTGACAGTGCAAGGCCTTCTTGGAATTCCCTCTCTCTCTCTCTCTCCCTCTCTGCCCCTCCCCACTCACACTGTCTCTGTTTCTCTCAAAAATAAATAAATAAACTTAAAAAGAAAGGCCCAGCCAGTAGAAGTATATGATATATTGAAGCTTTAATGTTCTAATATCAGTGGCAAAAAGCCATGGGAACATAGTGACTTAATGGATTAACAAAAAGGCAAAAAGTTTTGCCATTTCTGCTTCAGATATGACTAGTTTCTTCTCTCAGATATATGCGTTTCCCAAATTATCTCATTATTATTTTTTTAAGTTTATTTATTTTGAGATGGAAAGAAAGCACAAGTGGGGGGAGGGCAGAGAGAGAGGGAGAGAGAGAATCCCAAGCAGGCTCCGTGCTGTCAGAGCCCGATGCGGGGCTCGAACCCACAAACTGAGATCATGACCTAAGCTGAAATCAAGAGTCGGATGCTTAACCGACTAGGCCACCCAGGCACTCCTATCCCATTATTATTTGAATCCTGCTTGTAAATGATTGAACTATATCCTCTGTGACTCCTCCCCACTGCTAGGAAAAAGGACAAATATTTTCCATTCATGTTTTGATTTATTTATTGCTAGCCAACAATTTTGAGAGACATATGCATGTATATTGCATGTATCTTTCCCCCAACATTTCCCTGGGTGTTGTGTTTCCTCCCATCTTGTCATAGGGCATTTAGTGCCTGTGACATAGTGCTCAGAGCCCCAGCATGAAATTTCGGTAACCTAGAGCCTCAAAACTTCCTTCTACGTAGTTTGGCAAGTACCCAGTAGCATACGTCATGAGCTTACAAATGCAACCTTCCTGGCTGCCAAAGAGCATCTACGGTTGTTCGTTTCTTATCCCAGACCCCTGTTATTCCAGTGATGCCCT